CAGGGTCTGATTTCCACACATGGAGCGTGCAAAGCTTCTCTCCTGGGGGAGGTTTTGGTATCGGGCAAGACTAGGTGGGGGTCAACAAAGTGTTGATGGAGCTTCAGGTTGGCTTGATCCAATAGTGGTCTCCTCCCCTTCAACAATTTGTGGCCAGAGAGGAGGGTGGAAGGTCCCAAGGTGCCCTACCTGTGAAGGCACATGAGTCTTGTCAGCCCCTCTTGCTTCCTTGGACCTCCCAGTCTTTGCCAAGAAGGACTCGCAGAAGTCTGGGGGTGGCTGGAACTGAATTTTTAGACCCACAGCCCTGGTCACCAGCGTGGATTGAAACATAAAGAGGGGAACTCACACGCACACATCCACTGGGCACAAGATGCAGAAAAGGGCAATTACCATCTATGAAGTCTCAGGTGCAAGCAACTGTTTGGCTCAAAACCAAAAATCCTTTTACTACCAGTGTCGAAGCGGGCAGAGTCAGGGACAGCACCCTCTGGAGAAATGATCCAGTGCCAGCCGGGTGAAGTTGTCCGGGCTCGGTCCACTGACCCTGTTAGTCTCGGGCTCCTGGCTGCCTCGCCAAATTGTATAAAGAAAGCTGAGGAGGTTCGCCTCTGAGCCGGGAATAAACACGCAGGTGGTTGCTTGAAGGAGAGGGAAGACTTCCACCATCAGGCTCTCTGGGAGGAGGAGAACCACCGCAAAGCAGGGCATTCCCTCAGACACATTGCAGAAGAAGGCCGCGGTCAGGGGTACTGAAGGCCACTGAGAGACCTAGTAGGACTGCACTCCCCCAATCCTGGTCTCTCGATAAGTCATCCAGAAGTGCAACCAATGCAATTCCCATCCTGTATCCCGGCTGGAAACCGATTGCCAAGGAGCGAAATCGTCTCCTTCCTCTAAGGCTCTCTGCAGTTCCAGAGCGTCAGCCCTTTCAGGCAAGCCGGGTCAGGAACTGGACACCACAGAGCCTGTTGGAGCTCTGCGATGTTGTTGTGGGGCACAAGGACAGCAGCTTGAAAGCCTGTCAGAGTTTCCCACTGACCTCTTTTCTGGGATACAGAATCAAGACAGGATTATTTTTGCTCTCTTAAGTAGGAAAAATGCTGAATTCCATTTTCCATCTGCTCCTTTGCTC